TCCTTTTCCGTTCACCAGATGATGGACGTTTAGGTTAATTCCCTATGGTCACTTTGTTGAGTACTTCTACAGTGAACATGAGACTGAAGGTGTCTGCACTCTAGATTTTATTCCCTTTGGCTATAAACCCAGTAGCAGGATTGATGGACCAGATGGCAGCTCTGGTTTTGATTGTAAGAACCCCTGTTCTTTTGAGGGAGATTGTAATGTACAGGTGATGTCATGCCTCCTGGTATAATTCCCTATGGTCACTTTGTTGAGTACTTCTACAGTGAACATGAGACTGAAGGTGTCTGCACTCTAGATTTTATTCCCTTTGGCTATAAACCCAGTAGCAGGATTGATGGACCAGATGGCAGCTCTGGTTTTGATTGTAAGAACCCCTGTTCTTTTGAGGGAGATTGTAATGTACAGGTGATGTCATGCCTCCTGGTATCGCTGGACACCTTGGGAGCTATTAGGAAGGGGCCCTGCTTCTTCAAACACATTCTTTCATCAGATACTAAAGGACCAGGTCCTGGTCCATCTGAGTTTATACGGATCGCCTCTCCTGTACCGCCAACTCAAGCCACACCCTCCCCATCATGTCTTGCTTATGTAACCTCCTGGCTATCCACTAATACTTCCTGGTGATCTGTCTGCATTGACCGCAGTCCAGCTTTTCCAGCTCCTGCTTGATCAACTAAGGCATCAGCTTCTCCTAGAGACTCTTATAAACGGAAGCCAGAGGAATTTGTTTTGATGTAGATCAGTTGGCATCCCTTTCCTGGTTAAACCCCTGTCATGATTTTCTATTGCACATAGAATAAAGAGCAAACTACTTAAATTATCTACAAAGCTATATAGAAAACTATCCCTACAGATATCACCACCAGCTCCCACCATGCTGCCTCCCACTTCCACCCCACCCCAGTATCCAGTTAAAACATCCATATCCTCAGTTTTTCCCAGCCATCACTTCCTCAGAGAAACCTTTCGTGGCCACATTCCACCCCTCCACCCCCCTAGTATATACTCTCATAACATTCCGTAGAGTCTTCCCAAGGATTCAATATAGTCTTTTGGTTCACTGTTAGATGTTCAGCCCCTGATTCAGTGCAGGTATTCAAAACACTTGTGGAAGAAACAGACAGATACTCATGGGTGAATGGTCAGAGCCCTCTCTGGAGGAGTTTGTCCCCTCAGATCTAGTTTCATCAACAGTGCTCTTACATCTGCTCCCCATGTCCTGTTCACAGACACAGCAATGATTCCTCTTTCACTGTGCTGAAGGAGAGGATCTGCTTGCTTCCTACTATGCCCCCAAGGGTGGCCCAAAGCCCCCCTCCCACCTTCTCTCCAAATCACAGAAGGAGGCAGTATTGCAAAGTGCAAATTATACACTGAATGTGTGAGTCTTCCAAAAATTGTTATGCTGGATTCTTTTTCCAATACCCTATGTGGTGGCATTAAGAGGCAGAGCATTTGGAAGGTAATTAGGTGTAGATGTAATGAAAATATTTGGGGTTGTTAGATATGAGGTTTCTATGAAGAGATTACTGTCCTTCTAAAGAGGAGGGAAGCTAGGGTTTCTCTGTCTGTCTGTCTCTCTCTCTCTCTCCCTCTCTCTCTCTCTCTCTCTCTCTCTCACACACACACACACACCCCTACCTTATAGCAAGAAGGCAGCCATTTGTAAACCAGAAAGAGTCCTTAGAAGATTCTGTACTTTGATCTTAGACTTCTTAGTCTCTAGGATTATGAGAAAATGAACGTTTGCTGGTATTAGCATCCTAAGCTAAGACAACGCTTTAAAAAGTGTGAGTTGCAGAATCAGAGATGTGGCCTCATTCGAGTGCTGCCACTTACAAGCTACGGATCCCGGGGCTAGGCACATACTTACAAGTTAAAGATCCTGGGGCTAGGTACATTACAGCTCTCAGTCCCAATTCCTTGTCTATTAAATAAGATGGCAAAAGCATGAACCACACAAAATTACTGTGAGGATCGACACTGTATCTAACATCTTGGGCAGCAGACCTGGCACCAGTGTCAACCTTCAGCAGTGAGTGTGCTTTTTTCTCATTTCAATTATTATCACAGAGTTGAAACCAACCTTGAGGTTGAGAAGTAAAGCAATCTGATTTCACAGTTGAAGAAACATGCTCTAAGGAAGCTCTGGTGGAGGATGCACAGGAGGAGGCCTGGTGGCACCCCCTGGGTGCTGTTCCCATCACATCCTACACCCACCCTGCTTCTCTGTAGCCCAGCAACTCTGAGTCCTCCCAGTCTCAGAGGATGTAGCAAGCACTAGACAGTTCTCTGCTCTGGGCTCATGGTAAGTTGAGCTATTCATAAATGCAGAAAGAACCAAAGGAACCAAAGGAAGGCATCTCAACTTGGAGAGAACATTCATTCCCCCAGCAGCACAGAGACACAGCTCTAAGAGAAGTCCTAACTAATCTAGACGTGCTCGTCTCTTTCAGTAGCCATTTCTGGGCAATACATTCCAGGATGTGGATTGGGTTGTGGCGCCTGTTTATTTGCATTTGCACCGCTGCAGATCAAACCTATGGCTTTGTGTATGGCAGGCAAACTCACTACCACTGAGTAACATCTCCAACCCAAATGGAATTTCTTTGAACAGTGTGGCGGCTTTCTCCCCATCCTGGGACTCCGGGCTGATGAATTTCCTACTAATGGCATCCTCATGAGGCTGATAATCAAAGGTTGTTTTGCAAGAATACAATTCAGAAATAGCTTCACATGTGCACACATTTGAACAACAGCAACCATATATATATTCTTGATGCCTGCCTGATATTTCATCTGAGGGCCTCGGCTTGACAGCAACCAAGAGGAAGTGAGAGAGAAAATGTAAGGTGTGTGCACACTAACAGGGCAACTCAATCAATCACTTCTAAAGGGCGCACTTCCCCTGGAGAAAGGGTTTAAGGAAATAAGCAAGCAGACTTAATGGAAATTTTTCTGAGTCTATTGATTGAAATCTGTTGCATTTTCTTCCTACTTGAGAACACATCATTTTTGCATTAGGCAACTGGTTTATGATTTATGTAAATAGAAAACATAAAAACTTTTGGAGATGGGGAGGTTTAGCAAACATGCCTCATTCTATCACACCTCCTATCTCCCTTCCTGTGGTCTTTGTGATGAGGTTCTGCCAAAACCCTTCAGAAAAAGACCCTCTCTGCCCCAGAGCTGATAATAGCAATCACAATGATAGCCAGCAGCTGCTCCCAGAATGCATCACTCTCTCCTTTGTCTCCTTCTGTAGCCGAAACCAGCCTGGAGTCCCCCGTTCCGGTCTCCTTACCCACCCTTGCCCACCACTGTCAGCCTCAAAGGTGCTCTCCAACACCATCTCCTGCAAGAAGCCTTTTCTGACGTCCCAGCAGTGGTAAGGCTTCCTCCAGTGGGTTCCAATGGCGTTGCCCCACCCCTGTTGTGGCAATGGTCACACTGCTCTGACTATCCCTTCTTTCCTGTGTTTTTGTGTTCTGCTAAGTCAAGGTCCCCACCCTATTGTGGTAATGATCACTCTGTTCATGCTGCTAAATTTTAAAACCCTGTTTTTCATATTTGAACATTTCTAAAATCAGGATGTTTTGAAAATAATGTGTACATTGAGCATGGTAGTGTTTGTGGGGGCTTTTTTTCTGAAAAGCTGTTATTATGTTAAGAGCTCTCCTGAAAATTGAAGAACTGCATTACATTCCACGTGTCCTGACTACAAACTCCCAGAGAGCAGCAATGACAGTTTACTCTGTTTACTTGGTCCATGCATCGCCACCCCTCAGCAGATCACCTGAGATGCAAGAGGAATGGGGTGTCTTAGTTCTTGCTCTGATGCTATAATACCACAGAGTGGGTAATTATACACAGAAATATATTAGTTTGCAGCTCTGGAGCTGGGAAATCTAAGGTCAAGGTGCTGGCAGACAAGATGCCTGGTGAAGCCATTCTCCATGATGGTGCTGTCTATGCTGTGTCCACATAACAGAGGACAGAAGGGAAAGAGTGAATACTCTCTCCAAAGCTCTTTTCATAAGGCATCAACCCATCCCTGAGGGCCAAACCTTCATGACCTAGACATCTCCCATTAGGTCCCACTCCCAACATGGTTTCTTTGAGAATTTTTCCAGTACATGAATTTGGGGGCACATTGAGCCCATAGCAAAGGAGGAAGACCAGGAAGAAGGAAGGGAACCCTAAAATTTAGAAACTGCCTTTTCATTTGATTTAACTTCCCATCCTATTGGAAGGCACTGGGACTTCTCCCAGAGGATTTTCTACCCCACCACTCCCTGAGGACTTACCTCTGGGGTGGGTTGTCAGTACAACACAAGGGTAGTCAACCACATCAGACACATCAGAGTAGGGAAACCAGATCAGAAGGAAAGTCAGAGAGCCAGAGTTTTTGCTCCTGTCAGCCTCGGGCTCTGCATTCCAAAGGAAAGCACACATCTCAGCCACCGCCACCATCTCCAGCCCCTTTCCCTGCCCAGGAACCAGGACCACAATTGGTCTTTGTCATTCCTACCCACTTCATTACTGAAGACGCCGTTTGGCCCACGTTTCCCCAGCTCATGTCTGACCAGTAGCTTCTCTATGATCCCTCACTAGGGCCCTGTTCAAGCACCAGCAATTCCCTGAGTCTTCCCTGGTCACTACCATCACCCTCTCAATGGTACCCTCTCAATGGTACCCTCTCAATGGTACCCTCTCAATGGCACCTGGATGATACTGTGTATAATGTTTCTTGGTGCTTCCCAGCACAGAGCCACACCCATGACCAGAGCTCATGCCTAGTTAAAACAAATTAGTGTAATCATCTCTGCTCTTTATCATCTCTGTATCATTTCCTTTCACACTCCACTCCATGGAACAAATCGCTCTGAGCGTCCTGGATGGTTGATAATTACACGCAGTGCCTCTGCCTCCGCCTTCTCCATGTATTTTGGTGAGGACACTGGCAGACCAAGCTCCAAGCAGGCCCCTGTACACTCCGGCTGACAACCCACCCTACTGGCCATTTCTTTGAACTGCCTTGCCTAGTGACTTTGCACCTGTCTTACAGGTTCTTCTCCTCTGATCAGGGAGCAGCTCTGTGGGTTCCTCTGCAGTCTTCATGCATCAAAGGGGTTAGAGACAGAGAAGAATGATATCATACTGTTGGCTTATACAGAGTTCAGTCACTGTCTCTAGCAGCTTCCAGGGGCATGAGCTGCTGTCAAGACAGAGTGTTCAACCTTTACATGAACCACTGATTTTATAAACTTAAGGAGTGGAGCTTACATTCGCCCATCTTGCACGTTTTACTTCCAGCTGCTCTGAGCACTTTGAGACTTCGTGCTGCCCTTTCAATTCCAGACACAAACTAACTGTACGCAGCTGTTATGAGTGACTTCAAGGAAAGAATCCAAACTGTAACAGGGCTTTGATTTGCTGTTGTCATTGTTTGTCTGGATTTGTTTGCTTTTCACAATACCTGGGTTTGAACCCAGAACCTCAAGCATGCTGGTTAAGGAATCTACCCCTGAGCTTCCTCCCCCAGCAGTTATGGCAAGGCTTCAATTCACTTCTCTTCCTGAGATCTATGAGACCTGCCCAGCTTACTGCCTTTGGGTCTCATTTTAATAAGTACCTGGCATGCCCAGTAATTACCCACTGATCATCCCAGCTCCACCCTCAAGTTATGGCAAGGCTTCAATTCACTTCTCTTCCCTGAGATCTATGAGACCTGCCCAGCTTACTGCCTTTGGGTCTCATTTTAATAAGTACCTGGCATGCCCAGTAATTACCCACTGATCATCCCAGCTCCACCCTCAGGCTCCCCACACAGTGCTCCCTGTAGCACCATTATCCCCCAGGTGAGCAAACCTGAAGCCAGAGAGACATCCTGTTTCCTCTTTCCCATTTAGACTCACAATCAATCAGCTCCCTCTGCTTAAACTTCACTTCCTTCAGGAACGCTTTGCTTCTCTGCAGATTGTTAGGTCAGGGGATCCTGCCTCAGGTTCCTCAGCATGGCGCTTTGTCTATCACGTCCCACAACACTGCAGGTTTGTTTATCTAATGTTTCCCAGCAATATCTAAGTTCTATAAAGACAAACAAAAAGTGTGTTTCACTCATAATAGCTCTGACATAATAAGAATTAATATATATTCTCAAAGTATTGAGTTCATTAAAGGAACCATGAACTTGCTTGGGTAATGTTTAATTCACTGGCAAATGGTTTGGCTCAATGCCCATGAGCTATCAGGCACAGAGGACAGAACAGCTCTGACACCTAACTGGCACTGGGACTCAGGTCATTCCATGAATCTTGGGTTCTTCACATGAAAGATAAGACTAAAAAATATATCATATGATAGCTCAGTAATTAAAAGCACTTGTTGCTTTTGCAAAAGAACCTAAGTTCACTTCCCAACACCCACATGGCAGCTCAGAACCATCTGTAACTCCAGTTCCAAGTGATCCAATGCCTTCTTCTGGCCTCCACAGGCAGCAGGCACACATATGGTACACATATATACATACAGGCACACATTCATACACATTTAAAAAATACATCAAATGAGGTTGTCACAAATGCAAAGGAGATTATAAGTGCTTAATGTGTTTCCCAACTACTGTGATTCAAGTGTGGGTGTATCTGTGGCTACCCAAACCCTCTGTGAGTGTCCCCACCCCGGCCACAGCTACTGTACCAAAGTTCACATGGGCTCAGCCTTGAGCACTACCACATTCATCAGTGGGGCTCAGCATCAAGTTCAGGAGGCCTATTTATTCCATCAACGTTTTCTGCTGTCCTCGTTCTCTAACACCACTGGGCCACTTCCAGAAGCTCACATAACCGCCACTTCCAGTGCGCTCTCTCGGTGGAGGGTTTAATGATCCTGAAGGCCCTAGAAATACACTGAATTAAAACACAAAATGGATAGCATTGTGCATTTCAGTGAAACAGCAATTAGAAGCAGCAGTCACCACGTACTCAGGAGGGCAAGAGAGACGAAGAGAAAAGGAATAAAGTGACCTCATAAAGACACTTAATTTCATTACCACCAGACACAGTTTCCCATTATTGCTCTTGGTGTTTAATGGTTTTATGATTCTATCTATTGATGCTTAGCTAGTTCATTAACTGTGCTGCTAAAAATACAATTATCTCCAACAAACCTTTCATCACTAATAAAAGGGGCTTAAAAAAAAACCTCCATCATCACCAGAAAGCAGTGGGGTGGACACATTGGTGTAGTAATACCTTGGCCCCAAAGTTTTCATAGAAACTAAGACTATACAACCAGTTCAGAAATCCAACCAAGCAACTGCCCTGTTTTTTAGCCAATTCTAACTAGGCCGTTGGACTGATTTTGCACACTCAATTGGCACTGACTTTGATTGAGTCAGCTGAGTCAATCCATCAGCAAGTTAGTGATGAATATGAGATGCGAGGATCTGCTTAGTGACCTATTCATTCATCAGGTATTTATGAAGCCTTTCCTGGGTGCCATGCTCTGGTCAGATAGATACATGAATGAGGCAAGGGAGGGAAGCATCCTGTCTTCAGCAAGCCTGTATATGAGCAGAGAATATGTGTGTCTTGGAATTGGGGATGAGAACTCCAGTTACTGAGCTGGGTGGTCAAGACAGACCTCTACACCTGATTTGGGGTAAGAAAGGTAAGTGGATACTGAACAGAGCAGTCCATGAGCATGGTTTTCCACATCACTTAACATAAAAGTCAAACTCATCACAATGAGGGCTGGAGAGATGGCTCAGCAGTTAAGAGCACTGGCTGTTATTTCAGAGGACCTAGGTTCAGTTTCCAGCACCCACATGGCAACTCTCAACCATCTGTAACTCCAGTTCCAGGGGATCTGGTGACCTCTTCTGGACTCTGAAGGTATTGTATGACATGGGTGCACTTACATACATGCAGGTAAAACACTCATGCACATAAAACAATTTTTTTTTAATCATCGCAATGATCTTCCATGCCCTTCAAGGTCTACCCTCCAAACCCCACCATCTTTACCTCTCTGAGGAACCTAGGAAGAGGAAGGGGAGGCCAGTGCACATAACCCAGGTCTTCTTTCAGGAAGGGTCAGGGACCTGAGGAAAGCTTGTGTAAAGTGTTAGGTGATCTGCTTTTTCTAAGAGTATTATAGTTTGGATGTGAAATGTCCCCCATAGGCTCATGTGTTTGAACACTGGTCCCCAGCTGGTGTGCTGTTTGGGGAGGTTGTGGAAACTTTTGGACATGGGACCTAGCTGGAGGAAGAAATTTGCTGGGACTGGGTCTTGAAGGGGATGCCCACTTCAGGTGCAACCCTAACACTCTGCTTCCCAATCTTCCAGGATGTGTGTGTAACAAGCTACATCACAAGATCCCACTGCCACAGACCAAGCTGCTTCTGCCCCCATGCCTTTCCCGCCATGAAACCATGAGCCTTCCTCTCTTAAGTTGTTTCTGCTAAGTAGTCTGTCATGGTGACAAGAAAGCAGCTAATACAAAGGGATCTCCATCTGTTTTGTTCTTCTGGAGTCCAAACTGCACCTGGCAGCCATGCGCCTCCGGCATCGTCTACTACTTTGCCCCTTGTGTCCTCTACTCGGGTCTCTTCATCAACCCTTGGCAGAGCAACATCAGGGCTGTTGCACTTCCCCCCAGTGGCCTCTGGGCTCAAGGCTTCTTTCAGGTCTTTGCTCACACACTCCTCAGTGAACTCTTTCCTGTCCTCCTTACCCACTGCCACCCGTCCCTTCCCCTTTCTTCTTTCCTTCTTCTGTCTGTGTCTTACTACCATCTGAAATACCATATGGTCCAGTGTGATATTTCCACTGGCAGTGTTCTCAACTAAAATGCTGGATCCTGGAGGGAAGGGACTTTTTGGGGTTGTTTGTTTGCTGCTCACCCCAGCACCACACGATTCTTATTGTTTAAAGGGAATTTAATAAATACTTTTTTGGCTGAGTTAAATTCTTCATCCATTGCCTCCCAGCCCCAAGGATAGTGTAATCCCAAGGGTCATTTGGCAGATGACTCCATCACAGGATCTCTCGAAAAAGATGCTGAGAGACAGTAGAAGGCTACAGAGAAGGGGAAGCCACTGTTCTCCTTCTATGTCACATTTACTCTCTTTCCTTCCTCTGTCAGTATCTCTAGGGACATGTTATTTCCATCGTCCCAGCTCCAGCTGCAGTGATGCCTCCTTCACAGCCACTTCCTGAGCTTGTGGACTCCCTCCTCTGTGCTCCCCAGAAGATTCTGAGACTTCTTCCTTTTCTTCCCTCAGCCTCAGCTGTGATAGTCGCCACCACTGGGAAATTAGCTCTGCGTTACTTTACAACCTCTCTCTTGTCATCCCAAGCTTCCACCACCTATTATGCACCCCAGCACTAGGATTCAGTTTCCTTTGGTGCACCTTTCTTGGATTCTGCCTTCCTGACTGCCTCCTGTCAGAGCTAGTGAACACAGGAAGCAGAGAATCAAGGCACAAGCAGGATCCTAGGAACTCAGCCAGTCTAGAGGAAGGGCAAGGCTCCAACAAACACTGTCCTGACCCTCTTCATCCTGAGAGGAGCAAGGAGGTTCCAAGAACAGCGAGGACACCGAGCAGTAGAGGCTGGTGTGCAGAGCCAGCTGCAAGTGGCTTGCCGGTGGCTGGCATTAAGGCTTGACTCCAGAAGAATGAACTACAAGTTGAGACCAGAGCACCCAGACGAGAGATGGTGGAGAAGGGGGAGGGAGGGACTGAGTCCCCAGCACTCCATCTTGGCCCGTGAAAGCCTACAGTGCTCTCTTTTGGGTTTGCCAACATTACCTGTATCAGAGTGGTCACCAGGCCTGCCATCCCATCCCATTTACAGTTTTTGCTTCTTACCTCATGCATTTCTCCCTCAGCTGTTCAGCCCAAGGCCTTGAGCTAAGGCTATTCACAGCTCAGCAGTGCACTTTTAATGTGTCTCAGGTTGAAATATATGGATTTCATTGGTAATTGACACTTACTTTTCTGAGATTTTGCTATCACTGATGCATCTCATTATGGATGACACCTTAGAATTGAAGAATTTTAAGTTAGTTATTCCCAAGCCTGACTATGTCTCTGGATCCCATGGGAGTGCCTTAAAACTTCACATTCCTGAGCTGGGGAGATGGCTTCATTGGTGAAGTGCCCACCACACAAGCACTAGAATCTGAGTTCAGATCCCTAACACCCACATGAAGGCCAGACATGTTGATGTACATCTGTAACTCTAGAGGGCAGTGAGGGAGAGAAGTAGGTCCTCAGAGCTCACTGCCTACCAGCCTATCCAATAAGTAGTGAGTTCCAAGCTGAATGAAACCCTCTATCTCAAAAATAAGGTACAGAGAAATAAAAGAAAACACCCAGTCTAACTCTGGCCTTCACAAGCACACACACACACACACACACACACACACAATATGCACACATAAGCACACACCAATTTTTTAAATTACATTCCTAGTGGGCATGGTAGTGCACACTTGTAACCCCAGCACCCAGGAAGCTAAGGCAGAGGATTGCAAGTTCTGGGTTATATAGTGAGATCCTATTTCACAATAAATAGGAAAAGAATAAGAAAGGAAAGAAGGATGGAAAAGGGGAAGGAGGAAGAGAGGGAGAAAATCCACATTTCCCACAAAGTTGATATCTATTACAGTCGACATTGGAGTCCAGAAATCGATAGATAGAGATAGATCGATAGATGATAGAAACAGATAGATGATAGCGATAGATAGGTAGGTAGATAAATAGATGATAGATAGATAGATGATAGATAGATAGATAGATAGATAGATAGATGATTGATAGATAGATAATAGATAGATAGATGATAGATAAATGATAGATAGATAGATAGATGATAGATGATAGATAATAGATAGATAGATGATAGATAGATAGATGATAGACAGACAGATAGAATAGATAGATAGGTAGATAGATGATAGATAGATAGATAGATAGATGCTAGATAAATAGATGATAGATAGATAGATGATAGATAGATAGATGATAGATAGATAGATGATAGATAGATAGATGATAGATAGATAGATGATAGACAGACAGATAGAATAGATAGATAGATAGATGATAGATGATAGATAGATAGATAGATAGGTGATAGACAGATAGATAGATAGATAGATAGATAGATTGATTGATAGGTGATAGATAGATAGATAGATAGATAGATAGATAGATAGATAAGATAGACAGACAGATAGAATAGATAGATAGATAGATGATAGATGATAGATAGATAGATAGGTGATAGACAGATAGATAGATAGATAGATTGATAGGTGATAGATAGATAGATAGATAGATAGATAGATAGATAGAGATGATAGATGATTGATAGATAGATGATAGATGATGATAGATA